CCCTGGAACCCTGCCAGGGAGGGGGCAGCCACAGCTTCTCTGGGCAACCTGTGCCAGTGCCTCACCACCCTCTGAGTGAAAAATTTCTTCCTTATATCTAATCTAAATCTGCCCTCTTTCAGTTTAAATCCATTTCCCCTTGTCGTATCACTACATGCCCTTGTCCAAAGCCCCTCTCCAACTTTCCTGTAGCCCCCTTTAAGTACTGGAAAGGTAATGGTAATGAAATCAGTGAAAGTCTTACCGTGTGACCTGGATCAACATCTGTAACACGGGGGAGGGAATCATTTCCCTCTCTGCCAAGAAAGTTTTACGTAGCGAAAAAAAAGTCAACACGGACACCTTTTATGGAGTTATCTTCAAGGCAGAGTGTTGTTTTTGTCATCTCCTGCTTGTGTTCCCTGTAACATTCCTGAGGAAATAGCCGCTATATTTGGCATCAAGAGGAGGATTTTCTGGCTGCAGGGGCTTACTCTCGAGATACCACAACAGCAAAGCTTGAAGGGCATTGATGTGTGATTTGGGGTTTTTAGGATGTAGGTGTTATTTTGATCAGAAATGGGAGTGGATATTTTTGAGATCACAGCTCTGGTAGACAAAGAGCCGTCCGCGTGCAGAACGGAAAAGACAGAGCCATCATCTGAAGGTGGCTAATCCCACAGAAACCAGTGAGCACTGGGAGATACGCTCCTGGAATGAGCAATCCTGTAGTGCTCCCTGCAGTTAAATTGTATTTCTGTGTTCTGGGATCTGATATGATTCAGTAGTATTGATTATGAAAATTATATCCTCGCCAATACTTCTCTAAACTCCGTGTTTTCCAGTTGTCTTCTCTCCGTTTTGCTACCAGAATGAAATGCATCACAACAGAGCCGGTCATCAACGAGACACACGACCGAGAGGTATGTAGGGAAGGGGAATGGGAAAACAGATATTTTCTCAGGTTTATTAATATTTAGAATAATGACCTTAAAAACCAAAGGGCAGTTCAGTAGTTTGATGAATTATCACTCATCAGCTGAATTTATGTGTGTGATAAAACGGAGTGGTGTTAAACTTTTTTCATTTTCATTTTTTCGTTGATATTTGATTACGGTTACCTTGAATATTCTAGAGGGTACAGTCATGCAGATGGCTACGTCTTCCCTGACACATGGTGATTCTTTCATTCCATATGTAGGAGTCTCTTCTTTCAGACGTAGGAGTCCTTAATTTTTCTGATAAGATTCACCTCTTAGCAGCGAGATTACGTTGTGGATGACTCCCCTGGTAAGTGGGGAAACCATCTGCAGTCCTACTTGCAGCTCTACACACCATTATCCCCGTTGCTGCTGGCAACGTAACATTTTTGCCACAGTTACAAAACTTGTTTAACCAAGGAAATAATGTGAAGAAAATGATGATAGTGTTTTAGATGTCCTGAGTGCACTTTCACAGCTGAAAGAGAGCTAGCAGCAGTAAATGCTCGACGGATTACTGATCGCCCAAAGAACGAGTCTGGAATGATTTGATCCATAACACATGTGGTGGTGGGTGAGAACCCTGCTGTATTTCACGGTCTGATCTCACTGGCAAGCGGAGAAACAGCTGAGGAGTTTCTTTTAACAGCTTCCAGAAGCAGCTGTGCAACAAACTGGCTTTTCCTCTTCAGTCCCTTTCTTTTTTGTTGAGACGGGCGGAGTGGAAAAGAGTGGCCAAGAGAGTAGTGTTTGAGGAAGCTCTTGTGCTTTGATGCTCAACAGGTCACTTAAAAAGCAGCTTAGTATCCGATTCTCACTGAATCCCACGGAGTCTGGCGTACCCACACCTTTCTGGAAACACATTCTAAATAGCAAATGCTTGAAGATATTCCACATCATAGATTCATAGAATCACAGAATGGTTTGGGTTGGAAGGGACCTCAAAGATCATCCAGTTCCAACTCCCCTGCCATGGCCAGGGACACCCTCCACTACACCAGGGTGCCCAAAGCCTCATCCAACCTGGCCTGGAACACTGCCAGGGATGGGGCAGCCACAGCTTCTCTGGGCAACCTGTGCCAGTGCCTCACCACCCTCAGAGGGAAGAATTTCTCCCTCAGATCCCATCGAAATCTCCCCTCTTCCAGTTCAAAGCCATTGCCCCATGCCCTGTCACTCCACACCCTTGTCCAAAGCCCCTCTCCAGCTTTCCTGTAGCCCCTTTAGGCACTGGAAGGTACTGGAAGGTCTCCCCAGAGCCTTCTCTTCTCCAGGCTGAACAGCCCCAACTCTCCCAGCCCGTCAGTGGAGAAATTGAGCCTGTCAATTATGGAGAAATTCAATGAAATACACCACAGGAGCCTCCCCCCTCTATCAGAGTTAAGGTCAGAACTCCTGCTGAGTTCAGTAAGGGTCAGAGCGGAAGCCTGCATGCTTCTTTGCTTTCAAGATAATATCTCATAGTCCAGAACTCGATGGCCCCTGCAGTACCAGATCAGGAAGGCATCCCATTAACCTTCTGCGGGTGGCTCCAGCTGGCTCTGCAGCGGGAACGCCCAGGACACAACAGAAGCTGTCTTGTTGGAAGCTAATGGAGGCGAAGGGATTTCCAGACTCCCAACTTGACTGATGCAAACGTGACAGCAAACCCTGGGGGAGCTGGGGCACAGCTGCCATGTTCTCTAGCAGCCAGTTTAATGCTGCTTTTCAGCAGTTTTGTCTCCAATAACGTTCGGTCATTTGCTCACCTTTTTGTTTTCCTGCTAGGGGACAGTGAAGGCTTTGGAGAAGGAGATTATTCTTCTGAAGCAGGAACTGGCCATGCACAACAGCTTGGTAAGGAACGGGCTGCAGCATCTTAGACGGGACCTAGTTAAGGCTTTGTTATGATCTTTGCTTTGCAGTAGGATCAGTTCACTCCGTGTCCAGTGGGATTGTGTTCTTCCTTCTGCTTCCAGCACTGTCTTTTGGGCTTTAGGGAAAGCTCTGAAGATCCCACGCAGAGACACTGTGTTGTAGCTTCAGTCCCCAGCCACGGTAGATGTTTTTTTTCAGGCTCTTGAAGCCCTCCTTTTGTTTGAGTGAAATGTGGAGGGGAATGCATCGCTTTCAGCATGCTCCCAAGTCCCGTGTGTCCTCTCGACTCAAATGATGAGAAATCGCAATCAGAAATTAAACGTAGAATCATAGAATCATAGAATGGCACAG